ACACTCGAGGAGATGATCATATAGATATGCAGAGATTAGACTTTTCCTCGATGCGAAAATTGTTTTTATTATTAAAAAAAAAAAAAAAAAAAAAAAAAAAAAAAAAAAAAAAAAACAGCACTTCCAGTTTCAGTCACGGTCAGCGATCCTATTTCAAGAGCAAGAAAATGACCGAAAAAAAATCAGTAAAATTGAAAAAAAAAACACATTTTAATAAAAAAAAAAAAATAAAAATAATCTTTAAACTAACAAATTGAAACTAAACTAAAAAAAAACAATAATTTTGTAAATTAATTGCTTCTTTAATTATATATAAAAGATCAAATGTGTTCAGTACTCATTCAATAAACATAAATTTTTTATGCAAATTTTAAAAGGGGATTCAAAGACGTTTTTCTATCTATTTATGACTTTTTAATAGTCATAAAATTTTCCCAAATTTTCAGGATTTTAAAGAGTATGGGCAAATGTTTTGAATGAATCATGTCTGTTAAAAATGGAATAAGTTAATAATTGCTGTTTTCGACATAACGTTTATGCTGAAAAACTCAGCTTCTGACATCAGAGTTCAAAAAGAAAGTAATACTATTTGATGACTTTTTCGAGCGCCAAATTTTAAGGATTTTGATTTTTTTCTGAATTATCAGAGAAATATAATATGGCGCACATAATTCTGTTAGATTTTATATTATTAATTGTTACAACCTTAAAAAAAAATTGAAATTATGCTATTCCTGATTTGAGCATTATCAGATCGATTTTACTCAATAATAAATCTGAATAAAGATTAATTGGTAATTTGATTGATGTAGCAAGATCCAAATTCACCAGTTTATTGACGTTTTTTGTCCCATAAGACAGAGATTTACATTTATATTTTCAAATCATAAAAAAAATCCTTTGAATTCAGTAACCGGTTTAGAATGATTTCTAACATTTTTTAAAAACACTTCTCAGATTACAAATTCTATTTGTTTCAAGATCATTCAAGTAGATTCTTTTCCGAAGAAAACTTTCCAGGCTTAGTATGGATTTCTACCTGAGAAATTCTTATTTCAGCCGGAAGCTTCCTTTTTTTACGTGCAAAGTTGGATTTGCCGATCGGCGCGGCGCTGGGGCGGCCGAGCCGAGCCGGCAGTGAAAGTGGTTTGATCGTTCTCCTTTAATCTGGAACGTGAGCTTCCCTCTCGCTCTGCTCTGCTCTCTCGCGAGCGAGTCGTCGTGATGGAAAAGCAGAGCTTCGTCCGTGTGCTGCCAGGAGGGACGCGCTCTCGTGTGCAGTGCAAGCAAGACTCGAAAAATCTGCCCGCCGCTCGCTTTTGCTCTGCACCGTGTTTTGCTCATTACGCCCCGAAATTGATCCGCCCGCGCGCCCTCCCGCCGCCCTCCACCACTCACTCGTCGTCACGTGCTCAAAAAAAAAAAAAAAAAAAATCAGAGTCGTTACACATGCATTCGCCGCCGGATTTGCCATTTTTTACAGCCTGTCGTGTGCGCGCCGCAGTTTTCGCAATCGCCGAGTTTTTATGCGGTGACGATTGCGTAGGGGTCGATTTCATTTTTTTTTTTTTTTTTGCATGAATGTGAAATGAGGAACATTTGACCTTTGCCATTTCATAAGCATTGGATTCTTTAATGAATGGATATAGATTAATTTTAATAATCATAATAATAAAAAATATTCAAGCATTACAACTAACAATGAAATTTATACAAATATTGTAAACTATTAAATCAAGAAATCAATTTTTTTTATATCCTTCATGATTAAGACAATTTTTTTAGATTAAAAATGACATCTGCGTTGGTATCAAGAATTTTTATATAATATTGTTATTATTTTAATTGATTTCAAAATTGTGAACAGCAGGTTGTGAAATTACACAAAAATCAAAATCATGCAAAAGGAGAAACGTTTTTGATGAAATGGTTAAGTAAGAATGAAAAAATAAGGTGCTGTATAAAAATAATCGCAAGTAAATTGTTCTATTAAGTTTGGAAATGTTAATATTACATGGCAAAACTTTTTACAATTATGAATTATTATTATGTAAAAATTTGATCAACCCAGAAAAAAGAAAGGCATCGTAATTTCAGATTAGAATTAAAATTAAAGTTAAATTTATTCATGGTGATTTGAATTTAAATTCGGCTTTTCCTCAAAGGTTTTTTGTGAGTTTTTATTGTTTAACAAAATTAAATTTATTGTTTTTTCATTTCAGTTTTAGGTGGAAATTAAGGGCATTAGCAACACAATTGCAAAATACAATAATCCATTACGGACTAAATATCAGAAATTGTAATAAAAATGTGCTTCACATTATTCTCGAGTTGAACATCCTAATGGTCTTGACACAGATCTACTTTCCTGCCTGAAATCTGTGTTTTGCATCCGATCGATAGCCACTGTTGTGCAAAAATCTGACTTCATTAATTATGGAACAAATGCACGATTTATTTAAATTCACTCAAAAACACCAAATTAATGCAGATAATGAGAAAATCTGAAGCTTCCAATTTAATATTATTCTATTTACATCTTTTGAAGATTTTGGAATCTAACATGCGAAAAATAGAGCTCGATAATCGGAATATTCTTTCCACGGCATGAACGTGCAAAACGTTGCCTTCGATTGTCTCTGCAAGAGTCACTTTTCCATTTTCGAGTCGCATTCGCTGGATACGTAATTATCGGAATGTATTTTCGGTGCCCGTGGGGAGCGAGCGAGCGAGAGAGCGAGCGGCGGGTGCAATCGGCACCAAAGTGGAGAGAGGGTGCTGCTTTTTGCATCAATCACACATCTGCGGAGACAGAGAAGGGCGCGAACCGATCGATCTCAGCACCAACTAACCCGGCATCAAGTGCATGTTTATGTTTCGCCACTAACGAACTGCTGCATTTTTCTTCACAGGCCATTTTTCAATTCGATTTCTCTTCTCTATACTTGTTACCCCATCTTAATCGGTTTTTAGGGGCAAAAAGGTTTACTATTTTTAGTCGCTTTTTTATTGTGCAACATAATCAAAATTAAGATTTCAGCCAATTTTTTTCATTTGTAAATCTATTCTGCGCTTTTAGAAGCATAAACAATATTTTGCCACTCAAATATTCCTAATTCTGAACATAACTAACAATTAAGCAGAACTTCTATGATACTTTATAGAAAGGATATATATTATTATTATTATTCTTTATTGACTTATGAGACGTCGCCACTCTTATTTGCCGCCACTCTTAAGGAAGCAATAAAACAATAACGGGAACAATTGAATTTTTTTTATCACATTTCAGATATTTTGTAGACATTACAAGAAATTAAATTTTAACTGAGTGTTTTGTTTGATGTTTGGAAATAAAATTGTTATTTTGTTTTAAAACTGTAATCCTTATAATAATGATAATTTTTGCAATAGCTGAAGAATATTTTTTTCCTGCTAATTTCAATATTATATTTTTCATTCATCGATATTCTATTCCTTTTTTATTATTACAAAAGAAAAGATAAACACAAATGGTTAAAATTTGTATGAAAATAATTTTTTAAATTTTATGAAGTTTTTCTCAATTTTCAAAATATTTTTCCTACGAATTTTCGTGGAAATTTTGTTTCAAAGTCTGGAACAATCTGGAAAAACCTTCTTTTTCTTTTTACTTAAAAAAACTTTGAAAAGTCTGTCATTTTGGTCTTTCTTAACCGCTTTTTTTTTAATGAAATATTTGGTTTCAGTCGATTTTAAAAATAATTTTCACAATAATCACTTGATTCTTGATTCGTGCAGAAAAAATGCATTTCCGTAACGTTCCGAGTGAGCTAAATGCACACGAGCCTGTATCAAGAACAGGGCTATTGATTCCAGCGCAACAACGCACACATCCAATCCAATTTTTCTAGGGTCTATTTTTACGAACTAAGAGTTGAACGCACACCTGCCCTGAGCGAGAGTCTAGACGAGAAAGAGAGAAAAATCTGTGCGCGCGGCGGTAATCGTGTTTTTATATGCGTGACGTCAGGATTATGAGAGCAGGAGATTGTTGCTCTAGGTCGCGGCCGCAGCAGCGCCTTTTTTCTCTCGTCAATTCGCGTGTGCCAGCCAAGCGAGGAGCAAACCGAGTGGAACAACGAAAATTTCCAAAATGACCTTCGTACGCAAGACGGAATACAAAAACTTTAAAACCCAAAACTGATCTTCAATGTACGTTTGAGAAATAAATTTAGATATTTTCTTGCTAATATTACTTTGATAAAAAACTATTATAAGTTGAAAAGAAAAATTATTTTTACTATTTCGTTAGAATAGAAAACTGTAATTTAGTGAAGAAGAAGTCTTTCATGAGGGGATTATATTTTTTTTTAATTTCAAAATTCCAGTAAGGGATTGCAGTGAAATTATTCAAATTGTATCAAATAAGATGCACATTTAATTAGAACATCACAAAATAAAATGACAAATGAATATTTATATTATTTGATTACTAATTGTTTTTGAATGCTGAATTAATATTAATAGTATAGAATTTAACATCAAAAATTTTAAATCATTCAAACTTCTTAACAACAATAGTTTAAGTATAAAACTGTTTAAAAAAAAATGAAACTATTAAAATATAGTTATTTATAAAAAAAAATATTTCAAAGAATTTAAAAAAAAATGTTTACTTATTATGTAAATTATGATTAATAAAAATTTCTTCCATTAAATAATTCTCAACTAGAAATTTTCTTTTGCATAAATGGAATTTTTTAACAAAACTTTGATCACATTATTTCCTTTCTATGAAACTTCCAGTTATTTTCGACATTCCAAACATTCCATCAAATCCATTAAATTTCAATCTTTTACTTCCACGATCACCTCAATTTCTTGAAACTAATTATTCCCAATTTTTTCGCTCAAATTCCTATTCAAATCTAAATTTCGGTTGAATCTCGTGAAAACCGTCCGCGATCGATTCGATTTCGGAACCGTTCGAAGCACAACCACGTGTGTGTCTGTCCTACCTTGAAGAATGTGTCCGGCGGTGCTGCTGGAGTCGTGCCCGTGCGTGTCTCTCGGGAGTGAGGACAGTCGTACGTGTCAATCGGTCGCACTGCACAAAGAATGTGGTACTGTTTGTCTGTCACTGGACCGGAGTCGTCGGCGCAGAAGGAATAGTAAGAAGAGCTGGCTGAAGATCACCTGTCGGCGGCGCGCATCGTCGTCGGCGGCGGCTGAAGGGAGACGAGCGTGCGAACGAGCTGGAGTAGTAAAGCCACCAGAGCCGGCCACCAACTAACTGGAACGCGGCGCGGCCATCACGTCTCTCGCGCGGGCGGGCGGAGTGTGGGAGTGCGGAACGCGCCCGCCGCTCACCGGCACCACCTCGTGCGCCTGTGCGCCCCCGCCGCCTCACGCCAGCACCCCCGCGGCCGCCTCCGACCGACGCCGGCACCCACGCCGCCCTCCCTCACAACCCATACCGGGCCTACGTGCCCAAACGCCGGATGCTGTTCGACCCGAGCACGCCACGCGCTTTTCACTCAAGGTCGAAAATCGTGACCTTCGCCAGTCACCGGTCGAAATGACGATGACACATCTCGAAATGATTTATCGACACATTCATTCGCTGTTCCTTCTCTCATCAAATAATGTTTCAAGGCTAAATTTTTCTTCGAAATTTATCTGTAAAATTTTTTTATAGTGTTCGCTTGGCAGAAAATTCATTTAACTGAGGCCAACTTGTTAAAAGCTGTTGGAATTTGATGGAATTTGTACAGATGTATATCAGAGATACGCAGGTTGTAGGCTCAAGTCGTGGTATGAGTGAACTTTTTGTCGATTCAAATCTTTTGCTTACAACGAAATGGCGACGGATTTCTTAGCCATAAAACGGTTTTTGATGATATTAAAATTAATTATGAATTATTATTTATATTATTATGGAAAAATTAAAAAAATAAATGCTAAAAATACCAAAATAGTTATAAGATTGCGGTTAGAAATGCACAGGCCAAGAAGAAGACTCTTGGCCTGATCCAAAAATAAAAATATAATAAAAATTATGAAAAAAAAAATGCAAAAAATAAACTGAAATTTTCTCCTAATTATTTTAATTGTACTTTGCAATCAAATAAACGTTTTTGTAAAAATTTATTAACACTCACAATATAACTGAACTGGACCTTTCTGAACAATTTTTTAAAGATTCAATTTAATTAATAAATTAATTATTGAATCGATTCAGCTATTATTTTATAAATAAATATAACTTTATTGACGGTAAAATTATGATTGAAATATCCGATTTTAGGTGAATTTCTAACTTGTTCAGAATTTTAAAATTTGGGAGCGACAATAATTTGGATGATAAAATTGATCATTTAAACACTTTTTACTCTGACACTGCAAACCGATTTATAAAAATTCTTTTTTCGATCTCCAGCTGCTATAATTAAAAACTAATCCTGGAAAATATCACGTTTTCTGTAAAAAAATGAAGGTAAAAGTACTTTTTGTGTTAAAAATATTCGATGAGCTAGAATTTTATGATCCAGATTTGATTCATGGTGATTTTAATTTAAAATCGGCTTTTCCTCAACAGTTTTGTGAGTTATTTATTGTTCAAGAAAAATCAATATCCTGCTCTACATGTATATGGGCTGCAGTCATAATTATTGAGCTGTGAAAACATTTTGACAAGAATAAATACAAAAATCAATATCTTAAAATAAATATTGTTCTTTTAAACCAAAACTTTTTCGTTAAAAACAATTCAAAGATTAGAAAGGTACGCTCAAAACACAAGTTTCACAATTTTGACAAGAATAATAAAAAATTGATTGATTTGAAAAATTTCTGGTTCAATTGTCAAATTTTGTATAAAAATTGTTTAGTGTGAAAATATAAGTTTGAATAGTTTTCCCCAATAGTTGTAAATTTAAGAGATAAATATTTTTTCAAGATAGATTTTTTTACTAATTCTTGTAAAAATAATTGCACAGCTCATGAATTATGGCTGCAGCCTGTAGCCGAAACATGTAGAGCAGTATATTGTTTTTCTTAAACAATAAACATCGAATTGAAATAATCATAAATATTTTTTATCTGCTTCTCTCATTTATTCCACGATTCAATTTCCTCTCGTCTCCCATTTGTTTACTTTCGCAACAAGACCGTCGCGTCAAAGGCGGAAAACCACGTCCCAACGGTATCAGGCTCGCATGCGATGCAAAGCAGCGTGGATTTTCGCACATCATTGGCCAGTTGGACTAAATCCGCTGGTGAAACTCCACCCCAGCAGGGTTCAAACGGCCGCTTTTATTTCGTCGTTTTGACGACGTTCACGGTGAATTTTCATGCATGCTTAATTTTTTTGTAGCCGCATCAATGTCCAAAATTAATCCCATTTTGGGCTATAACATTTTTTTGCACACCAAGTTCCGTCTCTTTTGCTGACCTGCTTTTTGCTCCAAGACAAACAACTACTTTTGTGGCCCGACAAAAACGCCGACGCGATTATTGCCTTGCTGAAAATTCGCGATTTTTCTTTCTCTCCGAGACTGCAAAACGCGATTGCATGTCAGCCGGGTGCGCACGTAAGCCCAACTACTTTCTCTTTTTCCTGCCCTTACGGCAAACAAACAATGCTGCCTGCCACTTTTTACGATCGGCCCACGCGAGGGCTGTTTGATTCGTTTAAAATAGTGTCGAAAACGCCAATTTCCGGCTAATCAGCCTCATTTGCAACTTCTCGAGAGAACTTTTTTGGCAACCTTTCAAACCAAATATGATTTTTCAAAGCACTCGAGATGAAATAAAAATATTGCAGCTCGTTAATTGATTTACTCAAAAGACACTCTCCCTTGATTAATTTGAAATTCTCCCCACTTAGTTAAATAAGAATTGTTTCGATTGAATAGGAACTAATTGAGGCAAAATTTGGCACGAAATCACGTGTTTCCTCCGCCATTAGCAGTTCTGGTGAGTGCTTGTCAGTCTCTAATTTAAATTTGGCGCACGCATCTCTCTTTCGTTTTTTTTTTCTTCCTTCTCTCGCTGTAAAGTATGGATTTTCGCGTGCCGGCTCTTTTTTGTGTCTTACTCACTCGGCTCTCTGCTCTCCCGCGAGATAAAAGCAGGCAAGAAAAAGAAAGGACACGCGGGCAAAAAGGGAAGAAAAATTAGAGGAAGACGCGACGCGAGAGAGCGCCGAGAAAAATCATTTTTGTCCGAGGGTTGCATTCTTGACAAAGGAGGCGCGCGTGTCTCCGCTGCTGGGGTGAGTGAGTGAGAGTGTGCGTGAGCGGGGGTGACCGCGCGGGGAGGGAGGGGGGCGCCCACGATGACGTGTCCTCAAGGGTGCCTCTCACTAGCACAAGGAAATAATACATAATGTGTTGAAATGAAGAAGTGGCCAAGTTTAAAAATTAACTATACCGAAGCGTGGAAATTTCCAGCAATTATTTTCATTTATCATTTTGCAGAGCTTTTGGTTCTGAATTAAAGCCGTGTAATGGACTCGAGGAAAAACACGTAAACTTGGCGCGAACTGCAATGCATCACACTTAGTGGACCAAAGTTTTAATCTCGTTTTGTTTGCTTGGCCTTTTTTCTTCGTGCCCGCCGCGCTAATCAAATACACGCTCGAGGATTTGCGTGAAAAATTATGATCAGAGTTGGTGCAGTTTTTTTAACAACTTCCGCACTGCATTTGCTGCATGCAGCCTGCATCAAAACTTTTACTATTAAATTAAGTCGGACAGCAAAAATTATTAGTGATTTATGATCAAGTTCATTAAAATAAATTTCTGTAATATTTAATAATACGAGCAAATTTAATTTTCAAATAAATCGAAAATAAATAAATAATAATAAATCGAAAATTGGCGATCGCAGCGCCAATGTGACCAAATTCTGTAGTTTTTGGAACTAACTGATGGATGTGATTGGCTAATCAATTCTCACACGTTTTTCGCGCGAATCACTCGTATTTTGGTTTTCTTTTGCTTGAGACGCAACGGTTTGGAATTTTCAAATAGTGTTTTCGCCAGATATATACTCGAAATTCAGCAATCTTTCAGAATAAAGAGCAATACAAATGACCGGAGTGGATCTTTAAAAGTTCATAAAATACTTGAAAGGTTGGCAAAATTTGTGATAAGTGATTGACAAGGATAAAAACCAAGTCAACTCACTGCGGAGAATGGGAGTTTTTATTATCTCGGAAGTTCTAGCAAAATTTTTGCTAGCAGTTTTTGTTTTTGTATCAATTACTTTTATTTTAAAATTTTTTTTCAATTATTCAATGTAAACAATATGATTTAACAATTTGGACAATTAATTAAACAACGATAATTAAGTTAAATATTAATGAATGAATGAATTTATTATTTATTATTAAGTTTAATATTAAAAATTGTTAAAAATAAATGACGACATTAATTTATTTGAAAATTTTAATCAGATTCACTTCCTCTTACGGGTCGTAAATTATAAGTCTGAGCAACAAAACTCGGGTTTTCCCCCGACGTATTACAATATGAGAAAAGTTTTTCAAACCGGCGTTCTTAATCGCAACTGCCGTCACTTGCTATCATAAACAAATAAATAAATGACTTGGCTCTCCCAGTTTAATTTGTTGAATCTCTCTCGTGATAACCCGCCACTCGAAAACTTTTCTTTTCCACGTCACGAAATTGGATTGCAACTGTGTGCGCGAGAGGGCCTCATTCTCTTCTTTCGAGTTTCGCTCCCCTCGGCAGCCATGATAGAAGGCAAGAGTGCCGAAGGGAGGCCGAGTAGAAAGAGAGAGTATGCATCGCGCACGGCTCTTTTGTCGCACAGGTTGCCTAACAACCATTTTCTCAGGAGGGGGAGCCGAGCCGAGCGTGCTTTCGATTGTAAACAAAGCGGCGTGCGGAGGGCCAAGAGCGAGCGCGCGCGTTTTCGGCCTCGAAATGTAAAATATTCGCGAGCGGAAGAGAAGAAGAAGAAGCAGAGAGAAGTGCTTCTCAAGTGGAAATTATTTCTGAGCCGGTTCATTGGTGAAAAAGCGTGTCCCTATCGATTCCACGTTTCTTTTATATAAAAATTTACAATAATCAAAATATTGGAACTAAATTTCAAATATTAAATAAATAATACAAAATATAATGCATGACAACTAATTTCTAAATTCTAATCAATCTTTAATATCCAATTAATTTCTGAATTAAACAGTATCTGACGGTTACATTTCACAGAGGAAAAGTTGTGGTAAATAACCTTGGAATTGTGGTTGTCAAAATTATATAATTTTTACTCTCTGTTGTACTATCTTCATACAAATAGGATCAACTTTACTGACATTTG